AGAGAGAGAGAGAGAGAGAGAGAAAGAGAGAGAGAGAGAGAGAAAGAGAGAGAGCGAGAGAGAGAGAACGAGAGAGGGAAGGTGAGAGAAAGAACGTGAAGGGGGGAGAAGGGGAGGAAAGACCAAGCATAAATTGGAGGAAGGGGAGGTGAGTAATTGAGTACCGTTTTGAGTTCGGGGAGGGGCCACTACTTTCCCTTTCAATAACAATATCGTTTCGGCGGGCAACACCGTTTGCGTCGTCTGTGTTCTTCGGTTTTTAAGCAAACACATAAAAAATAAAAAGCAACGAATAAAGTTTGCCTCTGAAAGAACATCACTGTCTCTGGTACTAAGCTTAGGAGCAGACGATTAGCTGTCCCTGCTGGCTTGAGACGCTGCTCCAAAAATCCCTTTTAAAACCAAAGACAAGAAAAGAAGCTGAGGGTATTTCCATTTTTTAATTTTGATTCATTCAAGCATTAGATCTAGATCGAAGATGGTAAAAATGACTACAGACGAGTGATGGTATTGGAAACTGCGTTAAAACATATCATTGCGTAAGGTGATGTTGATGTCCCGTGATTCTACAAAAGGGGCCAAACGTTCTCGCAGATCCTGCAGCAGTTCTAGTTCCGGCTCCGCGAGGTCACACAACATAATGCTCACGTCTCGCAGACAGTTCTCACGTTCCTGGATCATTTGACAGATCGTATCCGCCACCTGAAAATAGCGATGGTAGATAGGCAGGATGGTACTTATAGTTTATAAGTTGTTTAAGGCCACTGGCCCAAGTCACGTAATAAGGGGTGCCTGTTGTGGATGGGGTCGGGTCGGGTTGGGTCGGACTGATCGCCCGACTTGCCGTCTGAAAACAAATACGGGGTGCCCACAACGGATGGGATCGGCTGATCGGGCCGATCGCCCGACTCGATCGCCTCAAAAACAAACGTGTTTGTTTTCATTTTCAGGCGATCGAGTCGGGCGATCGGCCCGATCCAGCCGTAGTGGGCACCCCGTATAAGGCGCTTGTTTTTTAGGCGACGAGTCGGGCGCGATTGGCTTGGGCCACGATAGCCACTTTGCGCCCTCAATCTGGCTGGCAAAACCGACCCGACCCGACCCGACCCGACCTGACCCGATCCCCAAATGGGCACCCCGTATTAAGCATACACATTTTACTGAAAAAGCTTCAGTGAAATAGCTTGATTGTAATAAAGGTTATAAATGACATTTATATCAGTATTTGAAGTGCTCTGTTTTAAAGAAAACACCGAATTTGACAATCCATTCTACAACCCCATTCTATTCAACAACATTGGCTGTTAAACAGATTACAGGAGGCGCTAGAAATCTAACACTCTCTAAATAGCACTTCAAATACTGGTTTAATAAAGGTTTAATAACACCCTTGTTCAAATAGCAATATATGGAGCTCATATCGTAGTTAAGTGTATACATACTTGTGTTTGCTTATTGTCTATCTTCTACTTCAAGTTTATAATGTTTCTACAGTCCATTTGACAGAGTTCCTAGGAACAATGCGGGCACTTCTGGTAAGTCCTACTTCTTTACGTTCCTTCTGTTATTTCTGCCAGTCTGTCTTACTTTTTATCAGCACTAAATGATGATTATTGTGTTAATGTGCTCCTCAAACAAACAAACAAACAAACTAACAGACGAACAAACAAGCAAAACAAACCATGAACAACGAACACTGACATTGAATTCCATTGAGTTAGAAGCAGGGTAGGAGATTGGCATACAATTTTTAAAAATTACTTTGCCAAAATCTAAAAGTTTGACGAGCACACTTTTTGACATTGAAAATCCATGGACAGGACAAACTCAACGTATTTCGATGGGGAATGGCTTTTGTCTTACCTACATTGCTTTTAGGACAACCCCTTCAAGAAGTGAACTGATTTAAAATCAATCCTTACAAACAGGTCGGACCACCGGCATTTAGCGCTCTGCTGTTAATATCAAAATGTTAGCGAGGCTGTTCATTCAAAATGTGAAATGTCGTTCGAGAAAAATCCTAACATACGTCACAATCAAACCAAATTCATATGGGCGACTTTCACCGATTATTTCACAAAGGTACGTTAGCTCTGCACATCACGTTGTCATACTCAAATGAGCAATTACCAATTATTTATGCCAAGCACTGCCTCGCGGTGGCGTTTCGCCAACACGCACTATTTCGCAGTAAATCCAAACCGATACGTTGGACCTCGAACGCTTGGGCTTATTTTCATTTGTATTTATTTGATCTAGTGCGCGTTCTGTTTGGGAAAACAAGATCGCTAAGAAGGCTTATATATCTAGATATAAATCTAGCTCTAATTGCCTACTAGAAACTTTCGTAGCAGCAGCCAAGATGGCAATCCAAGAGGCCAGGACAGAGAGAATCTTTACTAATTGTAGAGAAGGATGAAAAGAAAGAACGTCTAAAACCAGTTTATTATCGGCGGAGGTTATCATCATCATCCTCCTCCTCCTCCTCCTCCTCCTCCTCCTCCTCCTG